CCTTCAGGAAAGGTGTGAAATCCTGGCTATGCCAGAAGGCCTGGGGGCTGGATGGGGGCTCACACCAGTGGAGGTGGCTTGTGGGGTAATTGATTTTGCCCCCCTGTCATCTTGAATGTTTTTAGTATTTATATATAGGGTTTATTTTTATAGTTGATTTTTAATGGATTAATTAATTTTAATTATTTAGGGAGTATTTTTAATTGTTTATGGGTTTTTGATTTTAATTGTGAGCCATCCAGAGTCACCCGTTGGGGGAGATGGGTGGCATACAAATTTAATAATAACAAATAAAATAAATAATTCCAAGCAGCTGTGGAAGATAAAGCAGTTGAAAAGGCACTTATGCAATGATGCAAAAATAAAAAATAAAAATTAATGTGACCAAGCAGTCTTCAATGGGTTTCCAAAGACTCAGCCTTTTCTGATTTGAAGTCAGCTATACAGCCTTTAAAAATACAAAAAGTAACAATTATGATTAGTTGCACAGTTGCTAACATTGTGATATACTAATAGAGCATTTCTGGTATGCTGCATCGGTTTGGACAAATTAGTGCAGAGATTCTCAAATTGTGTGTCATGGGGAAAAGTTGAATACATTCACTTTGTTTAGTAGAGATGGCCTTAGGAACATTAATACACTTTTGCTAGATAAACACTGGTATTAGGGAGAGACTAAGGATGCCTAAGAACACTAGTCCTACTTTTGGACTGGTTGACGAAGTATTTTTCAAGGCTATAGAGCTGACTTCAAAACTGAAAAGGCTAGGTATTTGGAAACACAAATACTTTTTTCATGCAAAAGGAAAGGTAGCTGTGTTAGTCAAAAGAAAAAAAAATCCAGAATCCATAGTAAGATTATCTGAAAAGTCAGAGACAGGGTACTAGTTTTTTGAGTTTTCTGGAGCTGTATATCAGGAGAGTTGGTCATTTTGTCTGCTTTTCTTTCTCTGCTCTTTTTCTACTTCCCACTTGTCTGACAAAACACCGAGGACATTTTGAAAGCTTATATTTTATATTTAAGTTGTCCTACTAAAAGTTATGCTCCAAAATGGAACTTTGGACTTTTCTAATAATTTATACAGAATATACAATTGTTACAAAACAGTGACACAGACAACTGACACTAGAGTACAATAGAACATGCAACATACTTTATTTTAACAAGCATTAGTGTTATTCAAGATGTTCTCTATAATACTTTTATAGGGGTGAACAATCATAAACTTCCTTTGTAAACTATATTAATTAAAACTTTTATCACAATTCAAAAACCACTATGAATCACATAAGATCTTGGTAGATCAGTTTTATAGAAATGCTCGTATTGTTGCAAAATGAATGCACCATACTTGACTTATTTTGATGCTAACCTGATATATGTACCTTGGATGCAGTCCATTCCTATAGGCATGGTTCAGATAAACAGTTTCGGTGCATACTCATTTGGCTAAGAACAAATACTATTAATTTCCCACCTACCCCCCAACGCAAAGATTATAAGATCTGTTAAACCAGTTTCCCATTGTATCTAGATCAGAAAACTGCAACTTAATATATAAAACCAGAAAGACTGTTCTTAATCCAATAAACCATCTTTGTAATGTTTGAAGTAGCTCACAGTATTTATCAATTGCAAAAAAAAATGGCACTCTTTGAATTCTTTTTCCTGTGGAAACACAAGCTCTGTGTGGTAGTATGCAGCATATGCATTTTTCTAAAAACTACTTATTAGTTGTGATAATTATTGGTGATTTATTTATGATTTATAAAACATTTTTTTCAAACAGCATCTATACAGGAAAAATACTATCTATTATTGTCAGTATTTCAGATAAAGTATAAAATAAAATCACAACATACAAGATTTTTGCAGAGTAAGTAACCCTCTGTAAAACGTTTTATATCAGTAATGTACCTGCACTTTACAGCTGTTCAAACAAAGAACAAATATCTCCCAAAATACTTATTTTGACCTCGTGTAAACAAATTTTATTCCTATTTCTTCTATTCAAAAATGGGGAAAAGCCCCTCCCCTACAAGTAATCTCCATATAGACCAAACTGTGATCTTAGTAATCAGGATTTTTTAAAAAAGTGTAACTGGGTCATATACATAGAAACACATACTGCATGTTAATGAGCATTATTTGAATCACTTTGGGAAATTCAAGGGAATGAGTTTCAAGGAAACAGCATTATGTAAAACATTCATCATTTCTCCCTGCCCCTTAATAATAAATATAGACAGTTGTTTTGACATATTGCCACAAAGGAAATATCCTAATCTTGATCCTTAAACATTCAAATCAGTAGTTTTCATATTTCCTTCCTCACCGAGGCTTCCACCTTCTACTTTGGCAGCTTCTATCTTCTACTTTGTCAGCTGTCCAACAACTTTTAACAGTGTCTTATTTTCCTGCTTCAATTGCTCATTTTCATCTTCTATATCATCTAGATCCTTTGAGAGAGAACAAAGCAAGATACGCTGCTATTAATTAATAAAAGTTCTTTTTAAACATTTAGTTAATAATGTACTCTACAATACATGATACACATTTTCTTCTATAGAAGCAAAAAATGGTCAGCTACAAACTGAGATGGCTAATAAATCTGGGTTAGGAACTACTTTGTAAATTTATAATTTACAATCTGTAACAAATATTTTACTCTAATATGAATGCTTTTTATATATCAACAAAAATTTTAAATTGCTCTTCCGTCTGCAAGGAATCCAGAATCGTATACAAAGCATACAAAGCAAGATAGAGCGGTTTTCCCAACTATCAAAAAATAGAATGTTCCTACACAGACAAAAAAAAAAAGTAAATAAACTAGACGGCAAATAAATATGACCTTTTAATTGAGTGTTTGTCCTGCTGATTACATCCCCTATCTACCTACCTACCTATTTTCTAAGCTGCTTCAATCTTCCAAGTGACCATAATAGCACTCTACAAATGGTTTGTCAATGTCTTCTTCTGAAATGTTATTTTGACTACCCAGTCTAGCTGAAAGTCCATGAAGTTCCAGACGGTCTGCCCACATGAGTACTAATCAGGATTAAACCCGCTGCCAGGATCAGTAAAGGCCACCTACTTCCTGCCACCTTCTGCAGTTTTTTTTTATCTAAATGCAATTACCTAATATATTCAAGCCAGAAATATAATATACTGCCCCAATCTCAGAGTTGGGGTCAGAGTGGAATGGAAGAGAAATTACATTAATCAATAAATGAATCCATAACATACAGTGTGAAATTAGATTAATTAATACGTAATATACAGCACAAAATTCATCACATATTCAAACAATCACAGTATCTCTCTCTATATATTTATGTTGAAATACAGAAAATAATCTCAGTCATAAATTATATTGGGACAAACAAACGTTTAAATATATATATTTCTTCTGACTTTCTTTCCTTCCTAGTGTTTTTCCTGCAGGTGCAGGGTCTGCTTTACCCCCCACCCCAGATCAATCAAATGTTGATCCACTGGTTGTGACAGGAACTGATTGATCAGCTTGTTGCCCGAGTCTGATGTCATGGGCTGAGAGAAAATGACTGGCCCAAAGTTACCCAGCCAGCTTTCATGCCTAAAGCAGGACTAGAAGTCACAGTCTCCTGGTTTCTAGCCTGGAGCCTTAACCACTAGACCAAACTTCTGACTATAGGTAATATATTACATAACGATATGCCCCATCTAAGTACTGAAGTAAAAAATAACCATGCATGAAAGAAAATACCTGTTATTTGCCATCAAGGATGAAAGCTTCTCACAGCACCAGTGGGGAAACTTTCTACTTGGAAGCATATAATGGGAACAGGTAGTTTAAAACTGCAGGGTTTAACAAAACCTTAAAAGTTTCAGATGGTGTTTTCAAAGAGAGCTCTAGGGCTTATTCAACATAATAAGCAGAATTCAAAAGAGGCAAACATGCTAATTTCTAAAGGAGTAGAAAGGGTAAAAGCATCATGTTCAAAATCAACTAACTATATTAGTGGATTAAAATTCTCTTAACATTAATGCCTAATATTCATATTAAAAGACAGACATAAATCAATAAGCAAACAATGATTAATTGCACAAGTGATGTCCTACAATTTGGATTTCAATAGTTTTATGAAATAGTTTTGGGATTTTTATACATGTAGTAAGAAAAATAGTTAAATCAATAGCAATATTTGCGAGTAGCAGCAATGTACACTATCTCTTGAATGTGTTTACTTATTACCCAATAGGACATGCGTTGTGAATGATTATACATATGGTACTATTATACTGTACTTCTATACATAGAAATATTTGTCTGAGCCACAACAGTTAGTTCTATTTATTATTTTCTTGGATTTTATTTTTGATTTTCATGCTATAAACTGCTTTGTGCTTTTCAAAATATGACTACTAAAGATCTTTTCATTTTTTTCCTGCCATCTGAGCCAGACAAATGATGTCAAAATAGTTCTCAATCTGATTTCATTTTATTATAGAGTAAGTTCAGCATACAAAATTATGAGCAAGCACATAAAGGATAGAAAATAGGATATTACTGTATAAGTCAGGAAGATGGGGAACTTTAGGCACTGAAGATGAGATTTAAGGTCTGTACAATCAACAAGCCTATGAAATGTCACATTCTTTACTCATAAGTAATGTATTTATACAAATACTTATGCCTAAGAATTGCTTACTTCTGACGCATCTTGACACTCACAGATCCTGACAACAGCAATAGATGGCACCCACTCCATTTCAACTAGCTTCGATAATGACAGTGACCTGTCATTGACCATTCTCAATGGGCCAGAAGGTTTGGAAACCTAGATATCGGATGGCAGCAGAAGTGGGAACAGGTCAGTGGTCCTGTGAGAGAAGAGACCTGTGTCCTGCAGCTGTCATGTGAATGGCCATGTGATGCAGGGCCATTATGGCCATCTTCTTTGCTCTTCACTATGGATATAGGACTCAGAGGGACTGGAGCTTGTGGCAAACTTGGTTCTATTACATTATTTCCTCCAAAGGACTGAGTGGCAAATGTGCCCCCTGTGCCCAGCCCCAAGATCAAGTCCTTAGAGCTTTGGTTTTAAGAAACCTCTATCTGTTCCTACTTAATGCAAGATTGGTTTATAATAAGGCCTACATCATCCATTATGAGAGGGCTGATCTGGTATGCATTACTGAAACCTGGTTAGGTATGGAGTGGGGGCTTCTATCTTGGAAATGTGTTTTGCGTATGGCATCAGCTACTTCTCTTTGGCAGGACCAGGGATGTGGCTGTTGATACCCAAGGAATTCTGATGGCTTCCAGGGGTGCTGCTCTGGAGATAACTAGATGTAGGCCTTGGAAATTAGATGGGATTGTTGCTAGTGTACCAACCTTCCTGCTGCATAACTGCTTTCCTACTTGTTCTGCTTGATGCTTTGGTTGAGTTATGGTTCTACCTTCTCTTTGCCTGGGATCAGAGGCAGCTCAAGAGATCTTGCCACCATGGCATCTGTGGATCTGATCCAGGGTACAGGTGATCTGACTCACTGGGGTTTACACACAAGATCTGTTTTTTTCTCTTGAGGCAGTGGTGACATGATCTGGAGTTGGGGATGTTGTCATCAATCCCTTGTCATAGACAGATCACTCTGTGCTAGTCTTGACCCATGGGCCTTCTGGAAGGCCTTGAAAACCTGGCTTTTTCCTCAGGCACTGGCACCAGGATATTAGTGGACCCAGTACATGTGTTTTGTTCTGGGACGCAAAACAGTTTTGTGGAGCCTTGATTATTTTTAATTATGCATCATTTTATGGCTTTAATTTATGCATGTGTTTTGTTAGCATCTGTTGATTAAGATGGCAACTACTGAAATTCTTAATGCATTGCCTCTTTCTTTTGGAGTTGTTACCCCTGGTATTTGCTTTCTGCAGCAGAAATTTTAGGCACCAGGACAAATTAAAAAAGCTTGTCAAAACAGGGTGTGGGACCTCATCTTAGAAATACATGTTTAACTGCATTGCTTTTCGTTGAGCAACATCAAATTTGCCAATATAATGTTGTTTTATTATTTAAGCAGCATGAACACTTCACATTTGAAAAACAAAGCAGCATTGTCAGGACACAATTTTGAAGTCCATCACTATTTTCATTTAGTGCCTGAAAAAAGTATGCACCATATCCAGGAATTTCACATATCAGAAATTAAATGAAAAATAACCAGCTACAATTCAATTCTACTTTTGTCTTCCAGGTGGGTGACACAAATACAGTTCAGCTATTGTTTTAAAGCAGAGACAGAAACATTTAAAATTTACTCAAAAGATTTTATATAAACACATTTTGGAATGTTTATCTAGCACAAATAACATTCCAAAATGACTAAAAGTATGATTTACTTGGACTCAGTCCAACCACAACCACTGGCTAGAATTTAAATATTCAAGCAAATCAAAAGGAAGCAAATCAGCTAATCATGTGTAGGATTTGTTTCCCACTGAATTGAAATTCCTTTCCTAAATCACAAACTGCATTTAAAAAGCAATGCCATGTAACATACAATAAAATTCAAATAAGAAAACATTGGACACCTAGTACAGCTACTTCATACTGATTAGGAGAACCGATGCTGCATTTCTCAAAAGTAGTCCTTAGAATCCCACTGCAATTGGTCATTTTTATTTAATATTTCTAATATGTTTTAGCTGCCTAACAATAAACCAGTAATTGTTTATCCATTTACATACACATATACATAACTCTAACACTACTCCTTTTTGGCATAAGCAACTTTATACAAAATGCAGAAATTAAGTAAGAAGTGGTAAGCAAACGAAATCAAGACATTAAAAAGAAACTGCATCTACATCTATTTTATACCAAGAATACTTACTATGTTTCTCCATAATTTCTATCCTTGCAAACCACCCACAATCTCTGTGAATTGCTCTGTAAGTTGCATTTTGCTAAATTTGTCACTTTTGAAGATCTCATCTCCATCCACAAGTTTTTCACCCTTCCCCTTCTTCTCAGCCCATTCACTCTTCCTTCCTTCTTGCAATTTGACCCTCATATCATCTCTTTATATGACTAAGCAATCTCAACATACTTCTTTCAATTTTGTACTGAATCCGTATTAATTAATTACCATTAGTTGCATCTCCTCTTGTTTTACCATACATACTTAAGTAATCCATTCCCACTGAATTCAACTTAATGTTTTTCCTTATATACCCAACTCTCAATTTCACATGACAAAATGAGCAGCATGCTCTTTTATATAGCCATTTTCACTTATTTCAACAAACATTCTTACTCCCAACTATTAGCCACTAAAAACCAACTACCTTTCTACCAGCATTTTCCCAT